GATTGGTATCATACGAGTCTACTGCTTTTGAAATCATCTCATTTGGATCATCCATATATTTTATATGAATTTTATAAAACTGCAAATTAATACCGAATACAGTGTAAATAGCCCTAAAAACATACTGTTTCGAGCCACTTAGATTCATAACTGGAATTTTTACCCTTAATGAAAGTTATAGTATCCAGTAAGATCTTCCTGACTACAAAATACGAGCGTATTCTGATATACGGTTTGTGAGTTATACAATTTTGACTTTCTTGTAACCCTTCTTGATGTCTAACAACATTATCACTTTAATGATGTTCTTAATCACCAACAGTAGTATCACCAACATTATCACTTTATCACCAACAAGAAACCATGGTGCATTCACCCATCTCTACCAATTTCACCAAAACCCATCTTTATATAACAAAAGTCAAATTTTCTTACCATTTCTTGCAAATCAATCATGGAATCAAGGAACTAACGAATATATAATCATAATCTAAGCATCAATTCATGATTTCTTCACTTATTTTAAACATGCATTAAGCTTATCTCACCCAAATACTATCATACTTGATGCAACTTCAAGAACAAGAACAAGGATGAGATTTACCTTCAAATTGATGCTTAATCCTTCAAGATTGATGTTAATCTCCTTAATATGAAGTTAGATTTGGTCTCCATTGATAAGAATCGCACCTAAATTTTCTTAGAGAAGGCAATAGCTGAAATGGGGTCTTAATGGGTCAAAAATCGTGTTTTATTAGCTAAAACCCGAGTTGGGTCGGGTTTGACCCGGCTGGGTACCCATTTTTGACCACTAAACACTAAAAATGACATAACTTTTTGCTCGGAACTCCGTTTTCGATGAGGTTTTCGCCTACGCGTTCGTAACGAGATAATCTACAACTTCTGATAAAAATATTTCAGAAAAGATCTCCCAATAAAAGCAGTTTAACTTATTCGTAACTTAGACATTTACTTTACTTAATTCTAAGATTTGACTTTTTGATCGGAATCGCGTAAAATTTCTCCAACACTTCTAACACCTCCTAAATGATTCTAAACCTAGTTTCAAACCTTCAAATTGCAGAAAACATCTTTCGTTAGAACCCAACGCTCAAAACATACCGAAACATGACATTTTTAACACTTAGAATTCTTTTCCATTACAACAACCTACTTTAAACACTTTCAACTACATAATACTCATTTTCAAGCCAATGAACATACAAAATATGAAAATTGAGCAAGGTTAGTCAACGTTACAAATACCTCCTTCTTTTGAGGATTTCGTCCTCGAAATCATTGTTGCTCAAAGAGTTGTGGATACTTGGCTTTCATCTCGTCTTTGTTCTCCCAAGTCCAATTTTGACCTCGGTGATGCTTCCATTTGACCAAATCCAAGTCTACAATCTTATGTCGAAGGTTCACCGTTCTTTCATTCAAGATAGCTTCCGGTTCCTCCGTGTATGTCAACCATTTATCAACTTTTACCTCCGCTAAGGGAACCGCTTCATCATGTTTACCAAGACACTTTCGTAAATAACCCACGTGAAAGACATCATGAATTCCGGCGAGTTCTTCCGGTAGCTCTAAACGATAAGCTTGTTTTCCCACTCGATCAAGTATCTTGAAGGGTCCAACAAAACGAGGACTTAGTTTACCTTGCTTACCAAATCTCAAAACTTCCTTCCAAGGCGATACTTTCAACATAACCATATCACCCACGTTGAACTCAATTGGTCGCCTCCGTTTATCCGCATATGATTTTTGTCGATCTTGTGSCGCTTTCATTCTTTCTCGTATAACTCGGATCTTGTCATGAGTAATTTGGATCAACTCAGGACCGGCCAAAATCTTTTCACCCGTTTCTTGCCAACAAAGAGGCGTACGACACTTACGTCCGTACAAAGCCTCAAACGGGGCCATTTTAATCGTTGAATGGTAACTATTATTATAAGAAAACTCTACTAATGGCAAGTGGATATCCCAGTTTCCACTGAACTCAAGTATACATGCCTTCAACATGTCTTCTAATGTCTGAATGGTACGCTCTGACTGGCCATCAGTTTGGGGATGATACACGGTACTAAGGGCAACTCGCGTTCCCAACTCTCGTTGCATACTCGACCAAAACTTGGAAGTGAACCGAGAATYACGATCAGATATTACTTTCACCGGTACACCATGTCGTGCAATAACCTCGTCAATGTACAATCGTGCCCATTGATCCATCGAATAAGACTCGCGAACAGGAAGAAAGTGAGCGCTTTTTGTCAATCGGTCTACGATAACCCACATACTATCATGTTGTCTAGATGTCTTTGGCAGTTTCGTCACAAGGTCCATCGTCAACTCTTCCCACTTCCATACCGGAACTTCAAGAGGCTGTAAACTTCTATATGGTTTCTGGTGTTCGGCTTTCACTTGTAGACAAGTGATACACTTTTCAATATATCGGCCAATATCAACATTCATTCCCGGCCACCAGTATTCGGCATGCAGATCATGATACATCTTTGTACCTCCCGATGAATAGATAACCGTGATTTATGTGCTTCCTCTAGAATAACCTCTCGCAAACCCTCAAGTCTCGGTACCCATATTCGGGTTTTAAAGACTTTGAGACCACGATTGTCTTCAGATAAGGAGTCTACATAGCCAACCATACGTTCAGACTTCACGTGGTGTGGCTTTAAAGCCTCGATTTTCCACTTATGAAGATCATCGATAAGAGTAGACTTTATTGACACATGAGTGATAGCATAACAAATACTAGCTACATGTGCCTTCCGACTCAGCGCATCCGCTACTACATTGGCTTTACCTGGATGGTATAGAATTTCACAATCATAATCTTTGATCAACTCCATAGCTCTTTGTTGACGCATATTCAGAGTCTGTTGGTCGAAGATATATTTCAAKCTCTTGTGGTCGGTAAACAATTGGCACTTCGTGCCATAGAAATAATGTCTCCAAAGGTTAAGAGCAAACACAACGGCCGCTAACTCAAGATCATGCGTGGGGTAATTCTTCTCGTATTATTTCAGCTATCGAGAGGCATATGCAATTACTTTGCCTCGCTGCATCAACACGCATCCCAAACCCAATTTAGAAGCATCGCTATAGACCAGAAAGTCATCACTACCCTCGGGTAAGGCAAGTATCGGTGCACAAGTCAAACAATCTTTCAAAGTCTGGAATGCATTCTCTTGAGCCTCAGTCCATACAAATTTCACATTTTTACGAGTGAGTGAAGTAAGCGGTACAGCGATCTTTGAGAAACCTCGTATGAATCGTCGGTAATAACCCGCAAGATCAAGAAAACTACGAACTTCGGAAGCATTCTTTGGTTGTTCCCACTTTTGTATAGCTTCAATCTTAGATGATTCCACATAAATGCCATCACCTGAAATCACATGCCCCAAGAATTGTACTCGACGAAGACAAAATTCACATTTTGAGAATTTAGCATATAGTTTTTCCTTCCGCAACAGATCCAACATCTCTCGAAGATGTGAAGCATGTTCAGCCTCAGACTTAGAATATACGAGTATGTCATTGATGAAGACGATAACAGACTTATCGAGCATAGGACGACACACTCGATTCATCATATCCATAAAGGCTGCAGGGGCGTTAGTTAATCTAAACGGCATAACAAGGAATTCATAATGTCCGTATCGGGTACGAAAAGCTGTCTTTGGTACGTGCTCTTCACGTACCCTGAGTTGATGATAACCCGACCTCAAATTAATCTTTGAGAAATAACTTGCGCCCTGCAACTGATCGAATAAGTCATCTGTACGCGGTAATGGATACTTGTTCTTTATCTTTACCTTATTCAATTCGCGGTAATCGATACACATACGAAACGATCCATCCTTCTTCTTCACAAACAATACCGGCGCACCCCAGGGTGAAGTGCTCGGTCGAATAAAGCCCTTGTCTAACAACTCTTGCAATTGACTCATCATCTCTTTCATCTCGGCCGGTGCAAGACGATATGGTGTATTTGCAATTGGTGCAGCACCCGGCACTAAATCAATATGAAATTCTACTTGCCTGTTCGGCGGTAGACCAGGCAAGTCATATGGGAAAACATCTTAGAATTCACATACTATAGGCATATCTTTCATAGTTTTCTTCACTTCTTTGGTTGCATCCAAGACATATGCCATGAAAGAAGAGCAACCCTTAGTAATATAATGTTGTGCTTTAAGTATAGATATTACCATCACGTCACCAATGCGTCTTTCCCCATAAATGTACAAGTAGTCTCCGTTCTCGACTGGCAACCGAACCATCCTTTCATAACATATGATAACCACGCGGCTTTTCACTAACCAATCCATACCAATCATGACATCAAAGCCACAGATATCTATAGGAATCAAGTCTACGGAAAAGTTATGATGGTCTAACACTAAAGTGCAGTCTCTAAATACTCTATCAGCTACCAAAGGGACTCCATTAGCAGTATCAATGGTAAACGGTATAGGAAGCATAATTGGTACAAACTCCCAGTAGCGAACATAATCATGCGACACAAAGGAATTTGTAGCTCCAGAATCGAATAAAATACGAGCGGGTTGGGAGTTAACAAAGAAAATACTGGTAACGACATCTGGCTCATCGCGAGCCTCTTCCGCAGTAATCTGGAAAGCTCGAGCTCGTGCTGTGGGTACCTCCTCCTTTTGACTTGAGAAACCTCCCACTGTCGGTCGTTGCACCGACGCCTTACTTTCTTCCCATCTCATACGGGGCATTCAAATTGTCGGTGACCAAATACTCCGCAAGAATAACATGCTCGATCTCTTTTTGGACAGGTTGTACGAACATGGCCCATTTCGCTGCAACAGAAACATCTCAAGCTTGTTGATTCAGTAAGGCGTCACCCTTGGTGAGTTTTTCCGCATCTTTGACAAAGACGTAAGGCATTCGACTACAATAGAATAGTGTTAATTCCATAATCCACATTTTTATGTCTACGGTATTAAAAAGAATTATACCTGAAGTGAATAGGCTTGGGATTGAGCACGCGGAATGTTTTGAGATTGACTCCGCCTCGGAGTGAAAGATCGAGATTGTCGCTGAGTAGGTACAGAAAAGGTTCTTTCATTCCGTTGCCTTTTCGGCTCGAAATTTGGTTCATCAAATATAGTTAAATCGTGTTCACGACGACGAACGTACTCCACAACTTTATTGAAACTTGGAATATCGCGATTAGCAACAAACTCCCGGATTTCTCGCCTCAAACCATCGACAAAATGTTCGATTCGTTCGTGTTTGGAAGATAAGAACCGTAAAGCAAAACGTGCCTTTCGGTTAAATTGAGTCTCATACTCAATTACAGACATGTTCCCTTGCTTGAGTTCTAAGAATTCTTTCTCAAACATCCGTTGCAAGTCGATCGGGCAGAATTGCTCAAAGAAACGAGTCTTGAAAGACTCCCAAGTCAAGCTTTCCCGTTCATCTTCAGTAAGGGATTCAAAAGTTGCATCCCACCAAGTGAGTGCACGTTCTGTCAACATTGCACTTTCACTTTATCCTCGTTTAACACTCGAGAAATCCGGAATACCTTTTCGATGTTTTGGATCCATTGCACTGCGGTTACTGGATCAGAGAGTCTGGTGAATTCAGTAGCGCCGCCACTACGAAAGTTTTTAAACGAGACCCGCTTAGATTTGGCTTTTGAGGAATCACCCAAGACTTTCTCTTTACCCTTTCCCGTGTCATGCTTAAACTGTTCAAAGGTTTGTTGAACGAATATCGAGAGTGGTTTCATTAATCGTTCACTACGGAGAGACAAGGGTGTATCATCTTCATTCAAGTTGGGATCGGGATTGTTTTCTCCATCATCGGGGTTTGGTGGAGTGTGGCTAGCAGCATCACCATGAGACATTGTCCTAAAAGGTGTATACATATAGAGAGTATTAAAACATATAGAGTATTGTAATACCGCCAAATAATAATGTTAGTTTGATTCTTCATTTTATTAACTTATTGTATTTTGTTTATTTGAATGAATGAATTATATTTATATCCAAATACATTGTTGTTTATAATTTAAAATAAAGTTTAAAAAAATAAGAATAATTTTTAATATTGGTATAATTTGAAGAAATTAGTAAAAAACCAAATGAATACAAATGAACTATTCATAAACAACTAGAAGTGTACTCGTGCAAAGCATCGAGAAACATTTCCTTTTCAATGTTTCGTTTTATTTTTTATCCATGTAGATATAATACGATTTTATGTGGTTTTGAGAAAAGGATAATGTTTTTATTTTTGAATAAGATATAAATTTGAAGTAACTTAATTTGGGTTTATTTATAAAGATAATAACTAAGTATTCTATTAGAACTCAACAAATATCCTAATTATATTTTAGATTTTTTATATTTTAAAATGAAATGTTTATTCTATATTTGATTATAGAAGAGATTAAAGTGACGGCGTCACCGCTGTCCGCCTTGGCTTAGCACCATCAACGCTCTGCCTTGGCCCTCGATTTTGATTACCATCATCTCTTCCGTTCATTTATAGGCTTTTTTTGGTTGTTTCTGTTGTGATCTATTTTCAACACTACACCACAGTTTTATAGCAATGAGAAAGGTATCCAAGGCTGATAAGAAGATCGCTTACGATCAGAAACTCTGCCAGCTAATTGTAGTATTTTGGCATGTTTTAATTGTAGTATTTTGGCATGTATATATATATATATATATATATATATTAAACATTCCGGGTAGTTTATTATTATGTCCTGGTAGGTTTAGGTTCATCCGGTTTGTAAGTAATTATTATCTGTAGTTGTGATGACTTTTGGGTCAAACCGTATGAACATTTTTGGTGGTTTTTAACTAAAATTTATATCCCGTATGTTTTGKAGGTTTAAAACCAGGTTTTAATGATTTGTGGGTTAGTTAGATGTTTTGTTGCTACGGTGTTACACCTTATCCACAATTTCTTTAGTTTTTCTGTTGGGAAGCTTTTGTGTTATCCTTGGTACTTGAGCATTTGGATTCATATCATGTGTTTTGGTTAAATGGTTTTTTTGCAACATGGAACCTAGGTTTGGTTGTCTGCATGTCATCCTACGATTAGTTTGATTACCTTAACTGTGCTGAACAGAGTGTTTTTATTCACTACCCTAATAGAATGATTACTGTTATAAAAAAAATACATGGGTCAATTGTATTGAATTAGACCCAATTTAGAACCCATTCAAGTCTCTAATTGGCATCTTTGGTTTAGGTAACTTGAAAACCCATCTAGACCGTCACCTGATTAGATGGGACCAATCGTGGATATTGATAGGGTTATATCGGTTGAGAGCGGACCAATCGTGAGTTCTTTCGAGACTGTTGTTGGAGTCATCTTATATTTAGACCAATCGAGATCTCAATACGTCATCTGCAAGCGAAACTAATCAAAAATCTATCGAGGCTGTTGAGATCATTAAGCACTTATCCATGTTGAATGCTTGTTAGATATAGTTTGGTGATTGATTACTCAATGTTTGTCCCTTTCACCACTTTAACAAATTATAGTGTAAAATTTACACAAAATAAGGATACCTTCAACGTTTTTTACATTTTTTCATCAAGTTTTTATTTTCACATGATCCCATATACGTAATATCGGCGTGCTCATTTACCAACTTAAAATTGATTAGAAACTCGAGACCGTCCACAACCCAACACTTTTAATATTTATCAAAAATATGGATGTACTATTCATCATTAATGTTGTAACATATTAATCATATTATTAATCATATGAGATTCATCTATAACACATCCATATTTATCAATATAACTTGTACAGTTGAGGTATAAATGTAAAACTAATACATCATGTTGTCTAAAATATGTCAAGGTATTTGTTGGTACGTTTTTAGACGGCTGGTTCTTAAGGTTCAGTAGGTTGGTTAATGTTAACAATAGATACCCATATATGGTATTCAAGTTCTAAGCCTAGAATGCCAAATTTAGGTCAAGTTGGTTCAACTATATCATCATAAGAGTGAATTTCTTTTCTAAGATGATGAGTTACAATGCATATGAAAACACCATATATGTTCCAAGTTCCTGCATTGCTCAGCTCCAGATTTTCCTATTAAGACTTCATTTTCCATTTGTTAGAACCATGCCATAAAGTTATTGAAACCGGAGCCCCAATTACAATGTCTTCCAACCTAAGGATATTTAAGGGGCTATTTGACAGTTGCTGAATGTTTCGGTGCAAAATGATTAAGAGGCTCTCATGATATAGTACAAAATAAAATATAATTGCTTAGTAATGAAATCAGGGTGCTTAATAGTTAAGGAAGACCCAAAAAACCCAGTTAATTTGTCCTGTAGAAACAGAAATCAATGGAGGAGAAGTTACTATTGTTGGGCTAGTATTAAAGTATGATTCGTTTGGTTTTCAATTCTTTCGAACAACCTGGTAACCAAATAAAATAAAGGTTGGTTTAATCGGTTTTAATTATTTAGTCCGGTTATCGGCTACACCGAATAAGCTTTTATTTTAATAAAGTTCATTTATTTGTTTTTCCCGTAAATCTGTATATGAAAAAGGTTGCGATTTGTTGGATATTTTATGAATGAGACAACAAAAAAGTTATTTGAATTTTAAGAAAGAGGGTTTATAAATATAAAATATGGGGGAAAAATTATAAATTGGATTATTTGGTTAATTTAGTTTAAAACCATGTTTGTAAAAATATAAATGAAAACAAATAAAATAAGGCAATCTTATTCGGTTAATCAAACATTTTTACCTAGAAGCTATATAACTCAATTTTTGGGTTATGCGGTTCCGATTTTTAACACCCTTAGGCAGTATTAGCAGTAGTCTGCCAAAGTTAGCGATTTCAATCAAAACTAACATATCAAACTTTTACTCTACAATCTGCCATCATGTCAAATCATTCAAACATGGACGATCCCTTRTAGAAAATTTGAAGTTGTTGTATGTTATTTAATCGATCCATGACTTTTTTTAAGTGCTTGACAAAATATTTTACCATCATACATTCACTAAGGGGCCGTTTACCTAAATGCTTACCCGGTAAGTGCTTCACATTAGGAGTCAACACTATACTTTTATTTTATTGGGTAAGATTGTAGTACATCAAAACCTATCATATACAACCATTTACCTGGTAAGCACTTACCCAGGTAAGAGTCGTCACCCTCACTTACCGGGTAAGACTCTCCATCCTTATCATCGCTCTTACCGGATAGGATTCTTGGCCCTTGCCATGTTCATCCGGTGAGAAAAATTACCCGGTAAGTACTTACCGGGTAAGCGTTTAGTAAACGACCCCTAAGAACCTTATGACAACTTTCCCTTCTCTAGACTTTCGTGGCTATTGTTTAGCCGAAAAATAAAGGTTTTACCAATTCATGATCGTGACCAATTTACATGCATGGTTTCGAATGGCAAGTTTCCTTGGATGAAAAGGTTTGGAAGGTTTCACGATCGTGAAGGAATAACCATGTGCGATCGTGAACACTAGTCAACGACTTTTTCCGTTCTACTTTTTGTACATGGTTTTTCATCTTTTCATGGCATTATGTCTTTGACATATGTTTTCTTGGGCCTCAAATATTTCATCTAACGTAGATGGAAAACATGTGTTTTTTTCGCTAACTTATACTTTCATGATTATAGTTTATTCTAACCTCAATTGAGGTACAAATTGCAATAGGAATATGTAAAGAATGATTGTGGAAAAAAAATTAAAATGGTATTTTTAAATACCCAATAAAGAATACCGAGTTATATAGCCTGCCATTTGACACGTCCATATAATAACTGATTAACGTTTAAACTGTTCATCTAAGTATTTCTTTATAATCCGTAAGTGTGTAAATATGATAATGGCTTACCCTGAACGGGAGCCAAGGCATTCTAGATATAAAAATACAAGAGGTTACAGGGTTTTTAAAATATTTACATAACAACCCAGTTTATGTCTCCTCTCTAAGACATGCATACGTCTCCCACAATTTACCAAAACAAAATGTGCTAACTAACTTGCACACAGTTCGGTAGCATAACGGATGTAACTTGAACATATCTTTTGCTGGTTTTAACCAATATAATGGAACTTTCTTCTATAAGCCTATTCAACAATGGGAACACAAACTAATTAATAGTTGTTTATCCTATAAAACTAACCGATCCTATAAAATAAACTAACTCGAGTACGAAAATTGAAATTATCGTCACTCTAGCCATATTTGTGTAAAGTATATTGGAGGATTCATGGACGAACCGGTCGTATCCGAAACAACCTTCCTATTGGTGCAATGCATCCTCTTAAAAAGCCCAACAACAGTGGGCTCGCGACCCCATGCATCTCTGCAATAAACAACTTAAGCAGTTAATATACAACAAAATCATATATATTCATAAACTATATACATAGTATAGTAGATGATAAATTACCATGCGATCCCGATGYTGAATGACACTTATTGATCCTCCAACATGCATGGACGATATCCCCTCATACTGTACGTCCCTATCCCCTCATACTATATGTCCCGATTGGCCCTAGATTGACGCCTAAAACATGTCGGTTTCTACACCTATTAAGACATAACACATAAATTAGTATTAAACAATTACAAAAC